CTTCATTACCCATTTAAGCCGTCTCCAGCCATTATTAGTCTCAAAGTGGGTTCCTCGTCATCGAATTTTTTATCTCATTGTTTCTAACCCAATTAAGTTTTTCAAATTTTTTAAGATTGGCTCCCTACTTTTTATAAACTGAACTATTGGTGAATACTATTCACAAGGCAAGCATTTTCCCATCACTTACAATGGTGCGACTGACTTTAGTGTCACAAAAGTGGAATTATTTTTAAGAATGGTGAACTTTATTATTTTGTGACCTTGCAATTTTCAGAAAATACAGAATGCACAGTGTTTTAAAAACTCAGAGTCATGACATGTTATTTAGGACTGATGTGACAAGACTGTGGCTAATGGACCAGATAGGAGAAATGTTAACACTGGAATAAACATCATAATTTGACTCCTATATGATAAAACTTACATTCTAAATGTTCACAACTTTGTTTAGAGGCTTGAACTTGGAATTCTCAATGCTATAAAACACAGTATTATGCTGTTATTCAGATTATACTTAAAACATTTCATGAACACTATCATTACTCTCCAAAGGCACTTTATTAGCTGAAAGGAATTGCAGTATTAATGGATGAAAGGATAATAAGACACCCAAAGGATACCACACATCACAAGGGCATGAATGTCCCTCAAGAGAAACATCTGTCATGACTTTTTAAATACGTGTCACAGGCATGCACAAGTCTAAGCCAGAGCAATATTCCTTATGAAAAGGCTTAAATGCTCTAAAATTTATGTTCTTTGCACAGGATCTACAGTATATTCTTAGTAACCTTTGCATTTACAGTAGGACTTCAACATTACAGTGGAATCTTGAACCTATGTCCTTTGTTAGTTGCTAAGAGACAGAGACTTTCTGATTTTTTAATTTTGTGAAAAACGGGATCCACAAGGGTATTGAATTGAACAACTATGTTGACCAACTACAGTATGACTTTGGAAACATACTAAGTTCAGTAATGGACCATATAAACCATAGGCTAGACAATCCTGGTGATCACACAAACACACACTATACTACAGGCTTCCTGAATATTTGACCTGAGATTATGGCCAAAAGACAGGCTTAGCTGATTTATTTTGGAAATTATTCCAAAAATCACAGTACTCTGAAATTGTTTCCCAGCCTGTTCTGGTCTAGTCTCATAGATCACCAAGATGTTACAACCACCTTATCATCTCTTTTAAAATGAAGCACTCCAATTGAGATTTCGTACTTTAACATTCTGATTATCATAGTCATAGACATTGATCTGGTGATTCCTGTTTTTTGTCAGTGTGAGGGGGTTTTCAGCAGTTCAATGCATCAAATTTGTATGGCTTCTTTGTCAACAGCTATACTCTACAATTTACTAGAGGAACATAATGAGAGAAATCCATCTTTGGTGAACCCAAAACTAGCAAAGGCATTGCCCCAAGTTTCATGTTGATGACCCAAATGTGGGTGAAGATGCCATGCTCAATTTTGAACTGAATGTCCTCACAGAATACTGTTGAAGACTTTAAGTTAATCATAATACATATCATGATGGCTTTGTAAAAACATCGTTGTTTTAATTTAAGTTACTATGGACTAATACTTAAAACGTACGGTGAGACGTACGGTTGGAGACAGATACACATTCACAAACTGTGACAAACCCAGAGACAAATCTACACATGCACAAATAAACTTTACGCATACTAAGACAAAGAATTATAATGAACTATGAGGTTTATAGTAAATCCAATAATAGCCTGAGCGAACTTAGAAGAAATACAGTGCTTTCATTAAATGTATTTCTGCTTCTCTGGGATGGGTGTCCTTGGAAGTTGAATGTCTTGGATGATTGTGTTACTGTTAGTCCTAACATCACCATGTTAAGTTTCAAAATATTTCTTAGATTTTGATAGCTAAGTTCACTTTAGACACGAGATCTACGATTTACTTTAAATAAATAAAAAAGATAAACATGTTTACCTGACGAGCTCTCTCAAGCGCATCCGCAAAAGCAGAATTTGTGTCGAACCCACCAGAAACAGTTGACTGAGGTGGAGCAACCGACATGCTGCGACACTCAAAATGGTGGAAAGATCGAAATCGTCGAATGAACAATGCAAAACTACTTTCATTCGTTACAGGGTTATCTGAAAAGGCAACATTTTCCAAAAATACGACAAGATTAAAATATATTTTTTGTTTTACTTTCAAAAAGCCCGCTGGTCGTAAAACTCACAAAACTTTTATCATTTATATTTTTATTAATATGTTATATTTATAAAAATATTTTTCAATTGTTACTAATTCAAATATATTAATTTAATTTTTCACCATATTATTTGCACCACCTTTTAGATTTGCTGCTTCAAAGAGTAGTTCTCAGTAGAAAAGTTTACAGATAACGAAATATATCATGAGAAATGTGAAAACAGCAATTAAAACGATAATAAAGATTCTGAATAAAATGAAATTACCAACTTACAATTTTTTTAACCATTTAAAAACAGTAAAACCGATAAAAGCCTGGTAGGATTTAGAGGAAATGCAAGTGCTTTCATTAACTATGTTTCTGCTTGTCTGAGATAGGTGCTCTTGGATATAATGCATGATTTAATATCATTCCCAGTAGCTCAGCAGTAACTTTGCAGGCTTACGACGCTAAAAATCGGGTTTTGATACCCGTGGTGAGCAGATCACGGTTAGCTAATTATGTAGCTTTATGCTTAACTACAAACAAACAAAAATTATTGATGAGTTATTAGTAGTTTCTGTTATTCTTAGTTTATCCATATCTGGATCTGTTACTTATCTGCTTGTTTGTTAATTT